ATTTGTAGTTATAGGCTAGTAAGCCTACGCCAGTATTTTCTATAAATAAATACACGTTTTCTATAAAATATTGAATGATGTCAAGTGAGAAATGACCAAAATTGCCTAAAACTTCCACTTGGAGAGCAGAACATTCCTAATTTTACAACAAATATAAAGCAAAATGGAGGAAACATCTCATTAAAAAATTGATTTCATGAAAACTTAAAGCTTGCCAACAATTAGTGGATAAGATAATCACAAGAACCCAAGAAAATCAGGTGGATTCTATAGAGTGATACACAGATTAAAACCCAGAAAGATAAGAGAGTTTAATGGTGATATTAACCTCAAAGATTGCATAAAGGAAATACCACAAAATATCACGCCTGATAAATTATTAGTTTCATAACATCAAGTGTATGTATTGGAACTTCAATTTCCATTAAATCAACAATACAATTTAGAAGGAACAATGTTTTTTTCTTTTCTTTTTGGTTTTTTTTTTTTTTCTCCTTTGAGATAAGGAACGTTCAGGTATATTACAATTAAAATTGGAATATCTTTTTTTGCATATGTCATGATGCCCTTAGCTATTTCTTTTTACATGAGAATTCTTCAAAATGGCAAGAAAGAATTTCTATTTATTACATGAGAAAAGTGATTAAAAATGAAATATTTTATACCACACAAACAATACCAGCAATTTCTCTTTAGCCTTTAAACACTCGAAGCAATAAGAGAGAGAGAGAGAGAGAGAGAGAGAACTCAATGAACACAGACAATCAAAGGGAACGCGATCCCATTTAACCAGGCCCAAAACCTTATATTCCACTCCATCTCCAAATTAGGAGAATATTTATCAAACAAAATTCTCATAATACGCGATGAAAAAGTGATGCGGAGCCCATGAGAGAGAAAGAGGGAAGAAGGAAATGTGAAAGGGAAGAAGCATGGTAGTTCAACCCTAAACGGCCACACAGTCATAGAGTTCAAAATTAGGGTTTGGCCGCTAAAATTGGGGAGGAGGAGATGGAGGCCATGAAGTGAAGCGAGTGCGGCGGCCAAAGCTGTTCCTTGTCTGGATTTCTTTACGTGATAGTATTGATTTTGGAACACTCCCGTCTAAATTTGGAGGGAAATAGTCTCTCCTGGACGATAATTACCCTTAGTCTTTTCTCATTGCCGAAAGAGTCCTTATTCGAGTTTTTATTTCTATTTAACATCGGAATGAAACTCTAAACATCATATTGCGGCACCTGCAATCCTGATCACTTTGGTGTGCATGGGGAGGTTTTAGAGGGGTGCAGTTTTTCGAGGGGCGTAATTTTGCAAATTTTGGGCGTAATTTTGAAATTTTGGGTGTGTATTTTTTAAAATATATTAGAATCCAACAAAAATATCAAAAAAATATTTCGTGAAATATAAATTGACCAAAATACTCCCAAACTATTGCAGAAGTATTTTTGTCAATTTATATTTTACGAATTATTTTTTTAATATTTTTATTAGTTGCATGTTGATGATAAGAATAAACACTTAGATTTTTACATGATTTGGATGTGTAGAACAAAAATTTAATTCTAATACGAAATGAGGTCATGTCCATCAGATCGGCCCAGATTCAATCTAGGCCGTTGGGCCTATATGTAGTTATAGGCTAGTAAGCCTACGCCAGTATTTTCAGTAAATAAATACACATTTTCTATAAAACATTGAATGATATCAAGTGGAAAATGACCAAAATTGCCCAAAACTTCCACTTGGAGAGCAGAACATTCCAAATTTTACAACAAATACAAAGCAAAATGGAGGAAACATCTCATTAAAAAAATTGATTTCATGAAAACATAAAGCTTGCCAATAATTAGTGGATAAGATAATCACAGGAAAACAAGAAAATCAGGTGGATTCTATAGAGTGATACACAGATTAAAACCCAGAAAGATAAGAGAGTTTATTAGTGATATTAACTTCAAAGATTGCATAAAGGAAATACCACAAAATATCACGTCAGATAAATGATTAGTTTCATAACATCAAGTGTATGTATTGGAACTTCAATTTCCATTAAATCAAGAACACAATTTCGAAGGAACAATGCTTTTTTCTTTTCTTTTTTGTTTTTTTTTTTTTTCTTCGTTGAGATAAGGAACTTTCAGGTACATTACATTTAAAATTGGAATATCTTTTTTTGCAGATGTCATGATGCCCTTAGCTATTTCTTTTTACATGAGAATTCTTAAAAATGGCCAGAATTTCTATTTATTACATGAGAAAAGTGATTAAAAATGAAATATTTTATACCACACAAACAATACCAGCAATTTTTCCTTAGCCTTTAAACTCTCGAAGCAATAAAAGAGAGAGAGAGAGAGAGAGAGAGAGAACTCAATCACAAGAAATGCTGGTTAGAGAGAGAAAGACCAATCACAGGAAACACTAGTTAGAGAGAGAGGGATCACAATAAATGCTACGAGAGAGAGAGGGATCACAATAAATGCTACAAGAGAGAGAGAGCGCTCGATCAAAAGAAATGCTGGTATTAAAATACAGCTTAATTCGGCAAATTAATTATGATTATTAAATCAATCACCCAAAAAAATTTATTAAAAAAAAAAAAATTCACATTAGTCATAGACATTAATGCTGAAAATCCCAATGCTTACCAACTGCTGCATCTGTACCTCCATGAACACAGACAATCAAAGGGAACAAGATCCCATATAACAAGGCCCAAAACCCTATATTCCACTCCATCTCCAAATTAGCAGAATCCCCAAATTAAACGATGTTTCTTCAAACAAAATTCTCATAATACGGGATTAAAACGTGATGCGGAGCCCATGAGAGAGAGAGAGAGAGAGAGAGAAAGAGGGAAGAAGGAAATGTGAATGGGAAGAAGCATGGTAGTTCAATCCTAAACGGCCACGCAGTCAGAGAGTTCAAAATTAGGGTTTGGCCGCTAAAATTGGGGGAGGAGGAGTTGCAGGCCTTGAAGTGAAGCGAGAGAGGCGGCCAAAGTTGTTCCTTGTCTGGTTTTCTTTGCGTGATAGTTTTGATTTTGGAACGCTCCTGTCTAAATTTGGAAGGAAATAGTCTCCCCTGGATGATAATTACCCTTAGTCTTTTCTCATGCCGAAAGTGTCCTGATTCGAGTTTTTATTTCTATTTAACATCATAAACATCATATTGCGGCACCGGCAATCCTGATCACTTTGGTGTGGATGGGGAGGTTTTAGAGGGGTGCAGTTTTTTGAGGGGCGTAATTTGTCAAGTATATGGACTCGTGGAATTGTATATCATTTTTTCTAAAAAATAAAATTCCAGTACTGAAAGTCCTAGGGATAACATACAATCACAAATCTTGGATGTTGAATTTGAGGGTCCCAATTTGTACTTTTTTAGCATATCCCTCTATATTTTGATATCATATTCCCTCTATATTTTGATATCATACTATTAACTCCAATGCTATTTATTTTTATACTGACACCCCCAAAAAAAAAAATTGATTTTTTTCTTATCAAAATACTTGTCATTTTAAACCAAAATTCCAAAATGACACCCAATATGTATCGATCCAACACCAAAATCTGTCAGACCAGCTTGTACCAGTTTGCCGCAAAATGTGTCAAACTAGCTTTTCATAAAAAAATGTCCATCCAACACAAAATTTGTCAAACCAACGAATTCTATCAATTTGACACACAATGTGTCAAACCAACTTGTATTAAATTGTGTCGGCTCAGCACATTTTATGCCGGACTAGCTTAGATACAAATAGTGGGAAACATGGTTAAAATAAAGTATTTTGGTACAAAACAAATCTAACTTGTTTTTTTGCTTGAGGGTGGGCTTAGGGGTTAATAGCATAACATCAAAAGCACTTTGTTGGGGGTGGGGCACTTGGATGCCTAAAAACTCCAAATTGGGGTATCTATAATTTTCCCTAATTTTTATTAAATAATTAATGTAAGACATAAGATTTTGTACTCCCGATGAAGTATACTGTCCATTAACTCCCTCAAGTAAACCCAATCGGAGAGTACTTGTAGACCCAAACTTCATGTAACCTCTTCAAAGTATAAAATAACCTCAATAAAAACGTTTTTCCAAATCTCACTCTTGGGGAAAATAGAAATCCTCAAGACTGAATCTAAGTGTTAGAGAACTCAAAATCCATAATTGTTTTTTTGAATAATTATCTACTAATTATTAGGTGGATCACAAATTTTGAAATAGAAAATAAACCTTGCAAGTAAATCTCTTGCTTGAGGGAGTGAATGTATAATAGGAACCTACCTGAGAATAGTATACAATTTTCAAACACCAATATCTTGCAAGTTAGCCATAAGATAATGGTATTTGTGCTTACCGATATCTCACAAGGTGCTAAGAGTGGAACATTAAAAACTAAGTCATACGGGTAGTACTATTCCATCAATGTGACCCATAATATTGTGTACTTGATGTCAACTAAGTCACCTGTAACATATTGATATCCATGACTCAATATCTCGCAAGGTGTTTACAATAACATCGGTAGATTCCTTAAAAACCAAATTAGTTTTGATGGAGGTCAAATTTGAAAATTATGAACGGACTTAAGGCTAAGTGGTCAAGGTGGCAATGCACCGCAACATGACAACGTGACACCTTGAATTCCATTCCTCACCACAAGTAGGGAGCCTCTTCCCTATTAAACTACCCAAAAAAATAAAAAAAAGGATTCTTCATCTTCATCAAAATGTCACCCCTTTTAAGTCATGTACATGTACCTTGATAGGATTTTGTTAGGTAGAGCAAAGGGAGTAGATGAAACTTTTACGTGGTAAATCTCCCAGGTGTGGTTTGATAAAATGTTGGACTGAAGCTTGGCCTTCATAAAAATATGCCAGAATTTAAGCATTATTCCTTAAAGAAACCGAAATTTGGAGCTAATGTCACAACCCAGCCAAAGTTTTTTCCCATCTTTGAGAGTAGAAACCTGCCAAACTTTTAAAAAATAAGCCATAAAGTTTAACCTAAAGCCAAGTACTTACTTAAAGAAAAGAGAGACAAAAAACAAAGTTCGGTTACCGCCAAATTTGGCAATTACAACAATACAGCATCTGTAGTAAAAGCGATATTACAGTCACACTAAACATTAAGCATACACTTTCCAGAAAAGAAAATACAAAGCATCTTATATACAAAGCAAAACTAGAACAAATTAGAGAACCTAGAGAACAGTTTCAATCGATCACCTGCTAAGCCGAGAGCTTGATTCCACATGCGCATGCCGTTTTGCTTCAGATGGGCTGGAAGGGGCTTGATGCTTAACCAGCTTGTTCAATATGCATACCATGGCTAGCTTGGCCCCAAGCATATAGTGGCTACGAGATAGACAAACTGCACCACCAAGGAGAAGTAAACCGTTTGCTATGAATTTCTTTGAAGGTCTCTTCAAGAATTTCTTGTCTTTGGCTTCTCTCTTGTCCTTCCTAAAGCCAGGGCTTGAGCTTGAGCCCTCGAGACGGGTCATCTCCAGTTCTAGGGGAACCTAGAAAGAGTGATAAAAGGTGAGTAGGATTATAGCTCTGGAAAACGAGATATTTTTTGGTGGTTGTCTGTAGTTAATATATTAAAAATAAGGTAACAAAAAACTAAAACACAAAACCACAATAAACAGGAAGAGAGGAATGGGGGGGGGGGGGGGCGGTTGGGTGGGGGGTGTTATGTTCAATAATCAAACATGCAAGGTCCTGATCGATACTGAACAAAAGTTTCGAAACCCCACACTGTGATAAAGCTTAGGTTTTAGGAAGTTCCATATCTATTAAACTAGTGTTTCTATAAAAGCATTGGGACTAGAGACGTAAAACAGTTGAGTTACATTCAAAGAACTTTTGTACTCGTCAAATTCAATTTCAAATATAGAAACATCTCATCAAAAATGAAATGAAATAAATATGTGGTGCTGCTTTAAAAAAACAAACTGGTCATGGCGACATTCACAAGAGTTCTCTCACCTTTTGTATAAGCTCCAGCGAGCATCGCCCTGACATCGGCCTTATAAGGGCATATTTTCGCAGAGCCATGTTCATCTTGCACACATAACTCCAAATCCCCTTGGCAAATGCTAGCTTTGCCATTTCAATATTCAGACCAGCATCTTCTTGGTGCACCATTTTTATCTCACAAGCATCTCTTCCGGGAACTGCAATAAAAAATAAGAGAAAACAGTCTTCGTCTAAGATTTTCAATTACAAAATTAAAGTACAAGCGAAAATGTGACAGAAATAAGCAAGAACCCAGTCCACTAAGTCCTCGAAGCAGTTCAATAACTTGTACTCCTAACAGTCAGGCTTGAGAATAATTGTGGAAGTAAAGGACAGTTAAAAAGAACCATCACTCCCAAATAGAGAAAGCCCATTTACTTTTTCTTGCACCTACTATACATTAGGAACAATTTGCCATTTAAGGTTCGAAATACTTGCAGCCAACTGGGCTTAAACATTTTTCCTAGTATCACATGCTAGTGAAACTTCAGGTGATAATGGGATCAAATTATCCATGAACCTAGAAAAATAAATGATCATCTCTGAAACTATAGAGTACAGATGAGCAACCTCACAAAATGCCACATCCTCCAAACAGGTACCAGAACCATTACAACTCAAATGCTTAGAACATACACAATCCCCTATTCTCCAAACAAAAGAACTAAAATGACCCCCAACACTTAAAGAGTTCACAACAAAAGCCCCAAAGGGGACCAACTTGTTTCTTCCTAATATTTCACTTTTCCTTTCAGGTCTGGACTTCAAAGCCAAGTATAGAATAAACTCAAACACAACTAGGGCATATTCTTAACTTAAAGGCGGAAGGAACACTTTTATATTTCAGGTATTCAAGAATGGAAATTTCTTAAGATGATTTCATAGCACACCCTACCTGACCAATCCGATCCAGCCCAACCAAAGATACCAAATTCAGGCAGATTCCTAGGTGATAATTACTTGGAGATTCTTGCTACTTCTTACCTTTCCGGATCCGCCAACCAGATCTGAAAAGCCCAACTCGTACATATTTCTTCTGTGGTGGTGCCAAAGGATGATCACAATCCTGACCATGGTCATAAAAATCAGAATCAAAGAGGGGGATCAGATTAAATTAGTTTAGGTTCTTATATCCATCATAATCAAATCTAATATCTTCGAAGGCATGACTAGAAAATGGGAAACAACCACTTAGTATGTTTCTTCATATACCAATCAGTCATTTGTTAGCATTCAAAAACTCCGTCTACTTGAACCTTCATGTCTTATCTTATGCCGATCAATAGCATGTGGAATTACCACATCAAGATAAACAATAGTGATTTGCCTTTGAAATCATGATATATCAAGCAAAAAAAATTACCCAATTATTTTTGATGTTTTTAAGAAGAAAGCAACTTTCATTGTAATTATTCCAATCCTATTCGGTGATAATATCTCTTGTTGTAATTTCTCTCTTTGATAAATGCCATCAATAGTAAATTTAAAGTCAGGAGCTCGTAATTTCAAAGTGAGCTAGTCAAAAAGCTTTACTTCTGAAACTAGTTCAGAACCACTTTTCAAGTGAAAGATATCATCCGATAGATTGAGAAACAACAAAGTTTTTGTTTACAATCATGCACATAAATGTTTATAATATGAGAACCCTTACAATATTAGATATCTGCAACACTAACATAATAATCAAAACATAAGTCAACAAAAGCAATTACAAGGACCAAACAGTCCAATGCATGACAATCCCCCACAAATTGTGTTGCATGGAAGTAACTAAAACAGTTGGTCATCCAAAGTCTCACATCCACACAAACAACTTGGAGGTATACTTTTAATGACACTTGGATCAATCAGCATTAACAGGGGATTATTACTTTGAGATTCTCTAGAATAATTCTCATATTAGAAATCAAATGGTAACTATATGAATGAAGGATTTCTCCTATTTACCCACTGGTTGCAATTAAAATCCCATGACACCCTCATTTTTACCGGTCATCCCCTTTTGTGAAGGTTTATAACTTCCTCTATCATTTGACTCTACGTCATACCCTCCATACCTCAAATTTCCCAGCTCCACCTCTCTTGCCTTTGATTACCAAGGATTTGTACCATTAGCCAACACCAGATTAGTGCTACCAGCCATGTTTTGTTAGGAAGACAGGTAGGGTAGTGTCTCTAAAGATTAGAATGCCCTTGTAGTAGGAAAGAGAGATTGGAAACAAATAGATGTCAAATGGGGATTATTTCAGGCGAGGGTGAGGTTAGGTTTTATGATGCAACGAGAGAAGCCATTGAGGTTTCAGAGGAAGGAGGTGGCGAAATTTAAGGCACATTGAGGAAGCAGCAGTACAGTTTCAGAGAGGGAGAGAGAGAGGGAGGTAGGTGGCTGCACATAGGCACAGGCGCACATACAGAGAGGTGGGTTGAATTCTATGGTATATAAAGAGAGATGTGGGTTCATAGAAAGAGAGAGAGAGGGGCAGGGTTCTTGGGCACAGAAAGGACAATTATAGTTTAGAGAGAGAGATAGAGAGCGCTTTTCAATGGTTGTAGAAACACTGTAATCAACAAATATATCTTGGATGTGGCACCTAAGTTATCAATGTGCAGGTCGGATAAGAGCTCAAAACGAGGATTGAGAGGAGGAAGGCGGCACCTTTGAGGAGATGCAAGGAAAGATACAGATTGAAAGAGGTCGAACCCCACTCAAAATTAGAGTTTTGTTGATTATCCATTTAAAATTTTGACTTTATAGAAGGTAAAGATGCCTGTTTTGGTAGAAATAACAAATGGGGGAATGTGGACTGTCCCATGTAAAATCCCTATGAATAAAGCATTAAACATATAAGTATGCTATAAAATCAATCATCAATTATTTACACAATCTAACTATTCCAATGATTTGCTACTGTAATTTTGCAATACATACATTGAAAACTTAAAACTGCCAAATTATCAGCAGCCAATTAGAATGTAATTCAAATTGCCAGCAAGCAAATAACTAAAAAGACCAGCATCTCAGAAGACAACAAGAAAACTTGAATGATTATTGAGGTGATACCTTCATATAGCAATATAATGTTTTATCCGTTCCTTCCCATACACGCCATGCCAAGACATACTCTCTAGGTGTGAGAAGTGGGAACTTCTTGATGGTGCGCCCAATCTCTGTGCCATTCTGCTCATAAACCTGCAACTGCTCGTGTTCAACAAGTGTCTTATCCCACTCCTTTCTGTACTTGTTATCCAAGTAGAAGTCCCTCAGCAGCTCAGTCGAGCAGTTCTCAAATGTTGTCACGCTAATGTATTTCAAAGGGCCATCCTGTAAGAAAGTTTACCATAAGGAAGTTAGTAAATGAGCATAAAAGCCAGCAGATGAACGGACGCCCTAATGGCAATGGATGGCAACTAGGTATGTGTATGTGTATGTAGATATGATAAAATGATGCCGCAACTTTTTTACTGCCTTTCGCATGGGAGGAAAATACAGCACGCGGAACTAGAAGGCCAATAGCCAATAGTAACAGTCAACCTTTATCAAAAAAAAAAGAACTAGAAGGCCAATAGCATTGAAGAATATAGACAAGGATAGGCTCATAAACGAAGCATGCATTTTATAGGGTCTTGCAAGTAATATTCTACATAGAGTTGAAATTTTCCAAATGTATAAGGATACTAAATGGCGAAGTCAAACCCAAATGGGCAATTGTTCTAGAAAAGTAGACATGAATTCTAGAAATTTAAAATAGCATTCACTCTTTTCAAGAAAGGAAAAAACCTTGTACCTTTGGCTTGCAGCACTTCGCATTGTAGTATATGAGATTGTTGCTTTTCTCTATAACAGATTCCCACTTTTGGGATTCACTCCCTTTACCATCCAAATCATCAATCAAGTTTCGTAAATCAGAGTTTGATACAATCTCCGATATTCTGCATGCATTCAAATTACTTTGTATCAGAGAATAGTGACCAGTATTAAAAGTTAAAGCCAAAATAATTTGATTATCACATCTAATTGGTAAAATCAGAATATCAAAAATTACCAGTGTTTCCAACTTTCCATTTCAAAAACACATGCAAAACAATGAAAAGGAACACGAATCGTAGACCAGAACCACACCATATCCCACACTCCCCCAAAGTTAATAACATGCATCCAACAAGCCTTGATAAATAAAAAGAATGTTCCAAAACCAACTTGGCCAAAAAAGTCCCAGAACCCTCTCAGGACAAAGTCATAAAATCCTTTTAAATCTTTCTACCACAGTCTGGTGTGACTACTATTTGAAACTAATATGGTTCAACACATTCTAAATATGTGTTGCACAGATACGTAACTGCAATTAGCACTCCTACATTACATTGAAGAGGCAAAACCAGAAGCCACTTTCTTTCTCTTTTCAGCTATATCGCAGAGCATTCTTGTCTCTAGTAAGACTTTCCATACTCTAGACAAGCTCAGCCCTGTTTCCACGTGAAGAGGTAGCCACGTTCAGAGTTATTTGAGCAGGGTATTTGTTAACCCCATCACCTCCCAACTAAAAGGAAGCATGTCAAATGAATCCCTCTCTCCTCAGAGCCCCAATTGTTGAAGAACTCCTTATCCATTCTCTCTTTCCAGGAACACCAATACTATCGTTCTAATACCAGTCAATACTTTCTATACTAAAGAACATTACAATAAATGAATAAGATATTATTATTTTAATCTCCCAGTTCAAGGATAAATCTTGCAAACCTGTGTGTGCAAATATCTAAACTAAGAGATCCCTGTATTAAGAATTTGGGAGAAGTAAAAGGTGACTAGAATCCTGTAACTTTAATCCTGTCAAAAGTAAAGGATTTTGCAACATACAGTCAACCCAAAATTGGGAAACAAACACCCATGAAAAATATAACTAGATGTGGAATTTCAGGACAATTTTGCAGTCCAATTCCCCCATACAGGCGCGTAGATTCTCCAAATGCACAAACAAAACAATTGACTACAAAACCCCAATTCCCATTTACGACTGAACAATAAAATCAATATTGATGAACCCTCTAAATCCAATGTCAAATTACAGAAGATTTAATTTAACAAATAACAACCAAAAATTAAAAACTCAAAACCCATGGAAACCATATTACACTTACCAATCCATCAAACTACCAGAATTGGGCAACAATAAAGCCATAAAAAAAAGACCAGCAATTTCAGAACAAACCCATCAGAAGAAGCTCACCCAATTGCTGACGAATCAGTTATCGAAGCATTCAAAACCCTAACCGAAGAATCACTTCGTCGAAGTCTCAGACCAAAGAGTCTCCTGAAAATTTGAACTGTTATGACAAAAACCAGAACATATATTGTAGCCTTCCCTCCATATTCGTTTTCACGCCAAAAATCCTTGGCGCTAATCTGAAATATCCCCAAATTCAAGTTTAACTTCATCAAAATTCTAGGGTGACATTCTCTTAACCCTAATTTCTCAGACAGGATGGCATCGAGGTTCCGAGAGCATGACTGTAACCACCAAGAAACCTAAAAAAATGTTACTTATTTTTACTTGTAATATAGAAAGGATTTGGACAAAATGACAAAAAGAACCATGGAATTTACAATTATGACGTGGAAAACCATAAATTGGCGGGAATAATTCCCTCTTCGCTCTTCTTTTGCGGTTTTATTTTTATTTTTTCGGGCTCAGGACTTATTCTGATTTTGTGGCATGAAAAATTTGGACCACACATTAGCCACTCACTTATTCAAGGGTCTTGTTTATGTAAGGTTGCAACCTTAAACAATTCAATTAAGAGGCACCTCTCAATTTTATTTAAAAATTTAATAGAATTATCTAAATATAAAAATTTTATATATAATAATTTTAACTCCTAATTTAAACATATAAAAATCTTGAAAACGGACGGTCTAGATAATGTATTGTAAGATGTACTATTTCTAGGATTCAAAATCTTCTTTTTTTATTTCATATTCATACATCTAGATGTCGAGATGATCAGTCGAAGGGTTTTTCAACATTAAAACAACATTTTTCGATGGATTTTTGAAGTGCATCTTTAATTCTACATTTTATGGTTGTAACATATATAAACTTTTTCCCTTATTTAATTATCCAAAACCATTTGCATGGATAACTTATGAAATTTTTCTCAATGTGCACCTAAGTTATGGCCTATTTAGACATTTTTGTGTTTTGATTTAATTTTAGGGGTGCGGTTTGTGCAAAGTTGAGGCCCTAAACAATCAAAGTAATGAGCACTTTAAAAAGTATTGAAAGATGTTTTAGTACCATAAATCTTTGTGATGGTCTGAAATTTTATTTTCATCTCTAATTATAAAATTTAAAGTTTCAAAAATAGTATAGATCGAACAGATCTATGAACATTTTAAAATCTTGAAAGTAACAATCAAAGAAAATGCATATTGTAATACACTATTTCCAATACTTCAAATCTATTTTTTCTCGTGTTCATCCATCTTGAGGTCAAGATAATCAATATGAGGACTTTTGAACATCAAAACAACCTCTTCCACTTAACTTTTGAGCTGCATCTAAATTTGATTGTTTAGGGCATCGCCCTTATATAAACTTTTTCCATTTCATAATGTATATCGGATTACACATGATTTGGAGTTGGAATAGTAAAAGAAAAATAAAAGTATAATATTAAAAAATAAAGTGTATTTTGATAAAACTCTTTTAATCTATGCATAATATAGTCGCATGTTTTTGTTTGCAAATAAATTATGTAGGTGAGTTTATAAACATAGCAAGTAGCCAATTTGCTTCTTAATTTCAATAAAAAAAAGAAGTATGAGATACATATGGTCGAATTTTGTAACTCTTTAAGAGGCAGCTATGTATTCACTAATGCTTAATTAATTAAAGGGTGCGGTTTTTATGGAGCCTAGGCTCTAAACAATCAAATTAGAGCCTACCTTCAAATAGTGTCGAGAAATGTGGTTTCAATATTGAAAATTTTTATGATAACTTTAAAATATATTTTCATATTTATTTATAAAGTTTGAAGTTTCAAAAATAGTGTAGATCGATAGATCTATGAAAACTTACAAATCTTGAAAATTGAACGGTCAAAAAATGCTTTACAAAATACACTATTTTAAAACTTGAAATCCATTTTTTTCTCATATCTATGCATATTGATGTTGAGATGATCAATTTAAATATATTTGGATATCAAAACAACCTCTTCTAATGAAATGTTTTAGGTAGGCTCAAATTTGATTGTTTAGAGCCTCAACTCTATATAAACTTTTCGCTTAATTAAAAAGCACGTATAAGACTCCTTATATTTATTATAAGATAGTCAGGGTTGTCTTTAATTGTTACATGTTAAAGCAAACATTAAAGTGTGTTATTGACCGAGCTCAAAGTTTAAATATGTTTTTTTTTTTTTTTTTAATCTTGTGATACCTTGGAACCTGTAGTTCTAACTAGGTATGAATGTTACCTACAACCATCTTGTAATAATGATATTCCTTGATTAAATAGACAACGATAGAGATAAAGGAGAGATATACAAGTTATTGATTGAAATATTATATGGAGCGCACTCTTCTCCATCACCGTCCATATCAGTGACAGCATTGTGCTAACCTCATGATCATCATATGTGGTCTCAACAAATGGGACTCGAGCGATAAAATATAAAGTATGAAAGATGATAAAATATAAAGTGTAAAAGACTATTTTTAATGGGAAAACTTTATATAAGGTTTTAGCTTCAAAATGTAGAATTATAGATGTACCTCAAAAATCCATCAAAAAATGTTGTTTCATTGTTGAAAACCCTCTAATTGATCATCTTGATATCATGATGTATGAATATGAATAAAAAAAAATATTATGAGTTCCATAGATAGTGCATCTTGCAGCACACTATCTAGACCGTTAATTTCAAGATTTTCATATGTTCATAGATTTTCTTGATTTTAACCATTTTGGATTTTAAAATTTTATAATTAGATATGAGAATAGATTTTCAAATAATCTTAAGAATATTTTACACCAAAATTATATATTATAATAAAATTTGCAAGTGCGTCTTAATTGGATTGTTTAAGGTTGCAACCTTATAGAAACTACACCCATTCTAAATTTTATGATAAAATATATTTCTTATAAATTTTCCTAAAAACATCTGTAGTGCCTAAATTTTAGGCCTGAGCATTTATAGGGATCGCATGTTAATGACCACTATTTTATTCTTTTTTTTTTTTTTGGGGGGGGGGGGGGGGGGGGGGTTGAATTAGTGAGGACCAAAGCATAAGCTTAGTTTGTTTTATATGCATTTAAATGTCACTGAAAAATATAAAAAATATGGATCACACAAAATCACGGTATACTTGTTAGAAAAAACTATACCCAATAAATTATCAGGAACCAATGGAAACTTCTCCCTAAATAAATAATTTTATCGAATATAAACTTTACCTTTCAAATTTTATCATAATACATAATTTTGACGTAAAATGTTATTAGGATTATCTCAAAAAATATTTTTATATCTAATTATAAAATTTAAAATTGCAAAAATGATTACAATCTTACCGATCTATAAACATATGAAAATCTAGAAAATGTGTAGATAATATGTTGTAAGATGCACTATTTATGAGATTCAAAATCTTTTTATTTTTCATAGTCATACATCTTGATGTCGAGAGGATCAATCACAGGGTTTTCCAACATTAAAACAACATTTTCAATGGATTTTTTAGGTGCATCCGTAATTCTACATTTTAAGGTTGCAATCTTATATAAACTTTTTTCTTTTATTAATAACGGGCATATTTGTACGAGGCTCCAAGTTATGCACCAAAAAATATTATCAAAAAATATATTTATCATAAAAGGATCCCAGTTACTTCAGGAAATTGTAAGTGATAGTGATGTTGAATGGAAAATAAACTTGCATATAATTTATTTTTTTAAAAAAATAGATTATCATAAGAGGGGTATGGTTTGGATAATGCAAAGGCCCTAAATAATCAAGGTAAGGCGTACATTCCAATAGTGTTGAAAGATATTACTTAAAGGGTGCGGTTTGTATAGACCTACGCTCTGAACAATCAAATTAGAGCCTACCTTCGAATAGTATCGAGAAATATGGTTTCAATACAGGAAATCTCTGTGATAGCCTTAAAATATATTTTCATATTTATTTATAAAGTTTAAAACTTTAAAAAATAGTGTCGATCGACAGATCTATAAACACTTGAAAATCATGAAAATTGACGGTCAAAAAATATGTTACAAAATATACTATTTCCAAAAGTTGAAATCCATTATTTTCTCATTTCCATGCATCTTGATGTCGAGATGATCAATTTGAAAATATTTGGGCATCAAAACAACCTCTTCTATTGAGAGTTTTGAGGTAGGCTCAAATTTGATTGTTTAGAACCTCGTCTCTATATAAACATTTCCCTTACTTAAATATGGGAAATTTTTATGATGGCTTGAAAATTTATTTTTATCTTTGATTATAAAATTTAAAGCTTAAAAAATAGTGTAGATCGAGTAGATCTATGAACACTTAACAAATCTGAAAATTGACGATACTGAGTACATTGTCTTCAAGACTTAAAACCATTTTTTCTTATGTCTATACATCTTGAGGTCGAGATGATAAATTTGAGGATTTCTTTTAGAGAATTTTAATGTGCACTTTAATTTGATTGTTTGAGGCCTCACTATACAGTTCAGCGTGGAAGAAATCATTTTTGCATGATAGAAATGGTTCTCAAGACATCATATTGTGGCGCCGAACAATTATCCACCAAGTCATGAGCCCATTCCTAAATTTAACTTGTTTGGGTGAAAGTGAATGAAATAATTTTTTTTTTTTGTTGACTGTGAATACAATAATTTATGAGAAATATCAATTGATTGTCCTTCACAACTACTTAATCCTCAATGTACAACGTGATCATGTAGGAACACGCTACTTAGGATGATTTTTTATGTAAAGTGTGATATTCACTTAAAAATAACTAGATTATTATTTGGAAGAAATATATTTTAAATTACTAAATACTAAAATCCGACCCTCAAAATTTTAGGTGCTTTTTACTTTTTATCATCATCGTCATAGTCTTTTTTCAACAAATCAAGATCCCAAAAATTGTTGAATAAATGAATAGACAATATTTTTGTAACCTTCATTATCTTAATGAATATCGCACTTTATCAAAATAAAAATAAAAATGAAAAGAGAAAATGCTCCCGGAGTACCCTATAATGTTTGGCGTAATTACAAAGAGGTTGCCTGCGTATCTTAAAATGAGCATCTAATTTCCAAAACAAGAGTAATCTTTAAAATATCAAAATTGTGATGGGTTTTCTTCAATGCATTTTTATTCATATAAATATGTTGGTCTCCTTCAGGAGCTAAAGACAAAAGACAACCAGTGGGAGTCCAGTTTATTCATTATTTCATCTTCTTTTTTTCTCCAAGGCATGGGGTAATTATGGACAAATGGCCCATTCTAAATATGGACCACAAACTTAGATAAATAATAATAATAAAAATAACA